CTGCGTGTGTGTGTGTGTGTGTGTCTGTTGCTTGCTTCTTTTCGATTTGCTGCCATCCCCAAATATTTGTACACAAACGCAAGCAAAAGATACTCGTTGTAGATGCGTTATATTTTATGCAAAATTAAATGTGGGAACAACATTGCATGAGCAACCAAAATCTTAAAGGGAAATTGCCATAAATTTAACCTACACAACGTTCATTATAAATAAAACAAAAGCAGCAAAAGTATTCTGCAGACAGCTCCAAGCCAATAAATGTCGAAGAATCCAGGCAACAAATCATCAAAAAACAAAGAAAAAAAACATGAAAAAAGCTCAACAAAAATTAGCTACACATCAAATATGCACAAGAAAAATAGAAAGAAAACTTCTCAGACACCCCCAAACACACATCAACGAGTTGATATTGTACATATATACACGTATCTGTATATTGAGGCACTCAGTGAGCTCCTAGCGGAGGCGCAACATATGCCACAGCTGTCATTAAATTTGTGCCAGCAAAAAAATAACAGAGAAAAACTGAACAAGATCCCACACACAGAGCACATTGTACGCAACGGAAATGAGTGGCAAATTTTGTTGGAAAAATAGAGAAATACAAATGTTTACTAATAACAAAAACTGATATCCAGAAACAGAGGCAGAGACAGAGACAGAGATGCTGTTTACACGCTGCACACGTTGCAGCACACACCCAAAAAAAAAATGTGAGCAGAATCTACAATTCAAATCGAGGGCACAGATCGGATGCGAATGGAAATGGGAATGAAAATGGTAGTGGAAGTACAAGTGGTAGTGGCAGTGGGCTTATTAGCAAAAAAAAGCCCGAGGTAAAATATGCCATAGATAGAGAAACAAATAAACTCCCCCAACATTTTTTCTGTGTGTTTCTTTATATATGTATGTTTTTGGGGGGGATTTTTATGAGTTTATATCGCAAATTGTTTGCGTGTTGCCTTTTAATGCCCCCCGCGGGCTAGAATATTTTCGCAAGTTCTCTCTGCCTTTCATATATTTTCTCTTTTATACCACATAATATCTATTCAACTATTCGTATTCGTAAGGGGAAGGAGAGCGAGCAGTAGATGGTAAAAGCGTTTTTCAAGATAGTATGCAAGAAAGAAGAATTATTTAAATTGAAAATTGTTTGTTTAGCAAAAGATAAATTCACCCAACTGCATGTTCAGCGAGGACCACATCTAGTGGTAAACAAAAAAAAAGCTAGGGGAAAATCGTTGCTGAATAGTGTAAAATGCTGCCTTTCCAACTTGGGGGGGATGGGAGGTCATTCAACCTACAATAGAAACAGAGCAGAGAACATATCTCTGTAATTTACAACTTCGAAACCGAGTGAAATTCATTTACGTCATAAGTCTCTTTCTCTCGGATAACTTCAATCTTTTAATGCCCGTCCAGAAAGAATCGTTTTTATATCGTCTGTTGACTCCTTGTAAACAGCAATCTTTTGGTTGAATGTTGAATGGAGTGCCAGGGCCCCCAAATGTCGAGAGCTGTCTAAACCAAATGTACATTTCACTTATTTTGCATACGAAATTCATTTACGACCATGTTCAGAGATAAAGATACAGATACACACAGAGTTCAAATAGTAAATTACGCTGAGCTTGGGCATCCTTTGAGGGGTGTGGGGGGGAACTACCATTTCTCTTCGGTTTTGGTTTTTAGGACAAGGATAAAGCATATCATATATTTCAGATGATTCTTTTATTCCATGAATTTTATTTTTGTTTTTTTTTTTATCAATATTCAGCATGCATAATTAATTGCTTAAAGCGTTCCATTCAGTGTTTGCTTCTAATTAGCGTTAAATTGTTTTCAGTGTGTGTCCAAATGTGCATACAGGGCTCCGGCTGCAATCAATTTCATTACATTACTTCATTTTTTGCCCTAATTGGTCCCTAATTGCATTTAAAATTGTGTACGGCAATTAAACAAATATTTTATATGGAATTTAGTATAAGGCGTTAATCAAAGAAAAGAAACTCATTCAAGTGTAGAAAAATCACAGTGTGATTCAGTGTTCCATTTCTAGGAAAAACAAATAAAAGAAATTCTGGGCCAAATCAAGCACAAAGAATTAATTAGCACAGTTAAGTGGCTGCCACAACGAGTGCCAGTGAGAGTGGGAGTGTTGCAGTGGGGGTGAAATCCAATCTTTGGTATACACTTTTTTTTTTGGGGGGGACAGCGGAAGATACAAATTGCTGGATGTATCCAGATACAAACAATTGACCTAGATTTGTGTGTGGGTGTCTGTGTATCTGTGTGTTGTGTGTGCGGTTTGCCTTGAACATAATCATCGACAAGTGTTTTCCATTGGGGAAAGGAGAAGGAGAGACAAAACCAAAAGCTTCTTAGGCCTCGGCCTTATGTTTCTGTTTCTGTTTCCGTTTCTGCCTTTTCCATTATTCTTTAAAGACCATTTTCTTTTGCCTTATTTATGCGCAACAGTTGGTCCATGATACCACGATACAAAGATACAACCGCATTGGCTTTGATGCTCTATGGAGGTGCTGAAAGTATCTACAATATTTGTCGAGGGAGTATCATTTCAAATGAATGAAACTGTTGAATTATATATACAAATATTCTCTAAAGAGCACACAATATTCGTTCTAGTACAATTGTCCTCCCTGTCCCCTCTCTCGTTCGACACTCGTCATGTTCTCATAAATCTGATGCTTTTTACATAGAAAATGATTTCGATTGCCAGATATCTTGGCAGCCAATGTACGTTCGGCCGCTTTTTGTAGGACAAACGCCCACGCCAACGCCTTCACTTTGACATAGACACAGATGATACAGATACAGATACACACGCACACTCGTGAGTTGCTCAATTAATTTTGATTGCAGCCTTGGCAGCTGTTTTTCCAACTCACGTATTACGTTTAGGTGTGTGTGCGTGGATTATTCTGTTTTCGTTTCACACTTTTCATTCGAAGCAAAGCAAAAAACACACGGGACGTGGTGGGGTTCATGGTGAATTTCATTTATCCATAAATTTTCCTTTTCATTTCTATGAGTTTTTTTTTTTTTTGGTTTGTAAATAAATACATTTCAAAATTATTTATTTAGTTTGAAGAGATTTCATTGAGCGTTTTTTTTTCCTAAATGAAGCGTAAATATTTTATTTGACCACAAGGTTGACGAGTGTCTTACTATCTATGCATAAACGAAGCAAAGTATACAAAGATTTTGATTTGATTTATGCCATGAAATTAATTCTGCATCATTTAAAAATAATTTAATAATCATAAAATATATGTACATATTCTTCCCCATTGCATTGAACAACTGAATAAATAGACAAATATCTGAGGGAAATGTCAGAATTTATGAACTTCAGGTGTGAAAAGAAATATTTGTATTGGCCGGCCCCCTGCAGGCATCAGGCAGCCGACATTGTGGTTTATGTTTATTTTGAATGGAAAACTAAACTTGAACTTGGGCTGAAGGCAATTTAATTAACTTTTTTAAAACAAAACAGAGAGAAAACGAGAAGGAACGTGTGAGTCGCTTCTGGGGACGCGACTCTACTTATACCCGTACTCAGTCAGTATATACATTTTTGAGCTTATGATTTTTAAGAATTTTAGAAAAAAAAAAAAATTTTACATTTTACATTTTTTTGCTACGTATGATATCTACATCTACATATACAATGTATATTCTACATCTAACATGTAGACTTTACATGTTCCAATTAGATTCTACATCTCCTCCGCTAGGGGTTGCTCGCGCACTGAACGCGGCAGAGTGTGCGAGCGAGAAGGAAAATGAGTTGTGTTATTGTTGGCGGGAGGGGGAGGGGAAGCAACTGAAAATTAATTTCTTCATTCTGGCTATAATTATGATCCGATCTGATTCAGATTCGGCAATCTGGTAGATATGGGCATTTTCTACGATACTGCGTTCTTAGTTTTATCGTATCTTTAAAACTGTGCCTGCCACAGATTTTCGTCCTTTGTGGGCGGAAGGGGGCGGGGCGAAATTTTGAAATACACTTGTAGCAGTGTGATATCACATGAGTCTGGAAACCAAATTTGGTTTCTCTAGCTCTTATAGTCTCTGAGATCCAGGCGCTCATCAAGACGGACGGACGGACAGACGGACAGACGGACAGACGGACAGACGGACGGACAGACGGACATGGCTATATAGACTCGGCTATTGATGCTGATCAAGAATATATATACTTTATGGGGTCGGAAACGTTTCCTTCTCTGCGTTGCACACATCCACTTTTACCACAAATCTAATATACCCCTTAACTCTTTTTTGAGTACGGGTATAAAAATCAAAGTTCGAGGTTTTTTGTTGTGGTGCGTTTGCCTGCTTTTAGCCAAATTGTTTGCACAATCAAAAGTTTCCAAATAGAAATTTGATTTTTCATCTATGGAAATTGCTCATGAAAATGAAATGCAGATAGAAATGTGTGGAAAAACAATTTGTCAAACGCATGGGTAATTTCTAAAATTGTCGGCAAGTGTCAAATGATGTATGCGAACTAATTAGCCAGCAATTTCAATTAAAGGCAAAATATTCAAGGAATCTACAACACCCTCGCAACCGCAAACAGAAATATGTATGTATATTTGCGATGCTCTCAGGGCACCAACTCGATCTCTTGTCTCAGCATAATTGCTGGCAAATTGCTTGAAATTGTTTTACTGGCCACAGCCATGAGAAAAGTGAAAGGGAATCGACTGGCACTAGGCACACTTCTGTCTGCGACCACCCAGCCCCCCCACAGTGACGTCACCAAGAGCTTCCGCTGCTGGCATCTAAATTTGTATTTCCCCCTGCCCATCCGCCCCTTTGGCAGACGCCCACATATTGGCTTTATTTTGGGCGATTTTGGCATCGGCCAAATCTATATCTGTTCGTAGATACGGCATAAGTTTAACCCAAAAACATTTTCAGCATTTTCGTAAATTATCTTTACGCTTAGGCTAAATGGAAAACTGTTTCGAACAACTTGCGTCAGTTGAAAATTGTGTTTCAAACGCGCCACACACACATTACACAGTTCTTTTCAATTTTCTAAACAAATAACAAAAAACACAATGGCTGTAAGTTCTACAAAGAAAAGAAAAACAGAAGGATATCCAAGAGTCCTGTATGAAAATGGAAATAAGGGAAATTGTTTCAAAATAGTGTTAAATATAAATGAATCATAATATTCAGTATGGATCATCAGGACAATACAAGGAGAGAAACTGCCAATAGCAGTAATTGTTTGAATATCGGGAAACACTTTTAAGGGTTTTCTAAGACATTAAAAAGTGATAAATATGTCTTCATTCAACAAGCATTTATTAGACTTTCTATTAGAATAGTACTGTAATTTTAACGTACCAAATTGTCCTTCTTTTGGGTGGACCACTTCCCTTTGCAAGGAAAAATAAAATGAACACGAATCTGCCAGATTTTTAACTTTATAAATGGGTATAATAGTATGAAAGTCACGTACTAATAAATATATACTCGAATCAATTAATTTGAACACCAGAAACACAGAAACACAAAGACTGATATCAGCACATAAATCGGAATAAAATGGGAAAACAAACAAATTAAAATGAAACAAGAGTGCACAAATGTCAAAATATTCAGTTAATGCGAAACTGCTTATTAAAACAATAAATAAATAAATAAAGCATGTACATTCATATATGGAACAATCAATGGAATATAAATACATAAAGAAATCATCAATATATACATATATGTATATGATAATTAAATAAGCAATTAAAACACATGCAACGTATTTAATTGCAAACAGCGTGCCAAAATTTAATTAAAATTTATTCTTTAATTGAATAAATATTTAAATAGTCAATTAACAATCGCGCAGAGACAAGTATTATGTGGACACACTCATGAATAGTACTCATTTCTGTGCAATAGAATTCTCTGGCAGAAGTATTATCTGCTCAGCCCACTCATCAAGGCAGCTGCCACATCATAAATCATTCTCATATATCGCGTACGAGACTGAAAGACCGACTACAGTGCTTTTAAGACTGTTGTTAGTTTCTCTCAGACTTGTAATACTATTTCTAAGTCTTATTCCACTACTTCTAATACTTCTATACCGATTTAACTGCTTCTTAGACTGACATACTTGTGGAAATCTCTCATTTGTGTGTAGAATTTACTGACAAAAGTATTTTTTACTCCGCCCACGAGTCAGCTGTCAGCTCATAATTCATTCTCGTATATCGCTTATACGAGTATTTCTGTCACTTCCATATCTCATACTCTTTTTTGTAAATTAAAATAAAAAAAGCACTTTGTTGACACTTTGCCCCAAGGGCGGAGGCTGCCCTTGGTCCCCTGTGGGCTCCCCACAGTTAACCAGCCATAACTTTTTGGTCCACGGATCGATGGGTAGCGTCGACCCAGACCCAGAGCCCAGACCGTGGCCTGCATTTTGGTTGCATTGCACACTGTCACTCACTCGGGGAGTCTGTCAGCCTGCTGGCGGGCTTAAATATTTAATACAATATTTTTACTCTTTTGATGCATAAATTATTTAGCACTTTTTGACGTTCCCTTTGGCACTTTCGATGCATAATTAATTTGCAAAAATTGCCAGTTCGCTGTTGACAGTTGTCTCTCAATAATGAGAGAAACTGACAGAAAGAACTATGCGCTTAATTGAAGCGAATTATAATCTGAATTATAGACCCATTCGGGAATGTCATGTGACTGGTGCATGAAAAACTCTTGGGCCTTTGAGGGCTTAAAATATTTCTGGGTTTTGCATGTTTTTAATGCCTGATGATTTGATGACAAGTTTTGCAACAGAAAAAACTTTTCAATTTCTGAACAAAAATAAACATGCAATAAATACTCCGCAGTACCTATGGGAATGCCGCTAAAAAAAAAAGTTTTCCATAAATAAATGCCATATGTTTTATAATATATTTTAAAGTAAATTTACATTTTTTAGTGTGACACATTTTAATTAATGATTGTACATTTGCTAGCTTTGATTTATTGCATTTTTAATGGAAAATTTAATAATTTCAACCACAGAGAAAGCTCTAAAAAATATATAGCAGTATTTTTAACAGCAACTGCAGCAAATGGACTGATCCCAATGCTTCTGAGACTACGCAAATATAAAACTCTCTAAATATTATTCTGATGCTTAGAAAAAGAACCTCAGTTCCTTTAAGACTTGTGAAACTATAATGGAAAATGCAACAATGTTTCATCATCTGATAATGTCCACTTTAAACATTGTCTGGGAATATTTTACAACAATTTCCACTGTTTATACAGCAATCTGTTGAGCCAAAAACAATTTGTTGATGCTCGCCTGCCCCCATTTTCTTGGCAACAAAACAAAAGGCAATAAACATTAACCGCAGCGAAGAAAACCCCAAGGAAAATGAACCGAAACTTTAATGCAATTTCGCGTGTGCTTAGTTCATGGTTTTTACAATCCTCTCAAGGACACACGGCGGGGACTGGACTGTAAAAAAGTACACTTTTCATACAGAAACAAAACAAACACACAACAACAAAAAAAACTTATTGTCAGGCAGAATTTTCATTTCATTTGCTTTTCCGCAGCAATTGGCAGCCGTCCAAATGACAAATTGAAATAACAGCAGCAGCAAAAATGAGCGTTTATCTTTATGTACAAATGAAAATTTGTATATTTTTGTGCCAGCCAGCCAGCCACCCAGCAGTCCGGAAAAAGGAAAAATAAACTAACAAAAAAAAAAGAACAAGAGGGCGCCATTCAAAATGAAACAAAGTTGAGGGTTATTTGAAGGTCAGGGCACAAACACAACACAACAAAAATTATGGCTGGAAATATTCAGATAAAATGAATTACGCATTTCACTTCCTTGCAGTGGAATCAAAAAAAAAAACCTTTAAAATATTAAAGTGCTTCAGCTGCAAATTATTTGCCAGTGTTCAACCTCAAAGATACAGCATGTCAGGACTTCCCATTGGACCCTCTCCTAACCACAATCGATATCACTTAACCGTTCATCACCTACCGAAATGATTTTTTAATATATGGCAAACAGCGAAAGAGAAAACCGACGACGACTGTCAAGCGGCCAACCAGATAAACCATTTAATAATGAGAAAAACAGTGGGTGAGAGAGAGAGCAAGAGAGGGAGAGAGAGAGCCAAGAACCAAAAATGAAATGCAATTCTATCAGCAGATCAACAACAACAATCCGCAACGAACTCCACGAACTGTTTGTACATTCAATTAAAAAACCAAACAATAATAAAATAAAAAAATAAAAAAACCGAGAGACGGAAAAAGTCCGAGTCGAAATCGAATTGGAATCGAAGCAATTGCAAATGCAAATTGACGTACAATTCATTAAAATCCCCTCGGTTCATTGGTTGCCATTAAAGCGTGCTGCCTGATACCACGCCCGATGCCCGATGCCGCTACCGCTGCTGCTGCTGCTGCTGCTGCTGAGCCTCGTTGGCAGATTCAAGCTTCAATTTTTACCCATCAATACGCACATATGTATGTACATATGCACGTGTGTATTTTAAAATAAATAAATTATTTCACTGCTGAAAATATGAATGTGCGTGAATGCAACAGAGTGTTGTGCTGCACTCCAGCAATAACCAGCAACGAAAAATAAATCAACGGCAAACAAAATCATAGTAGGAATATTGGCAAAACAACAGAAGAACTTGCTGAGAATGAGTGCTACATATAAATCTGTAGGGTACCCTCCCCTCTCCCGATATTTTTTCGCTAAAATTCTACTTTAAACACCAGCAAAAAACAAAAGCGTTTCAAATTAAATTGTTAAATTTATTATTATTTTTTAATGTTTGCACTTTGTATGCAATTTGACATTTTGCGGACATTTTGGTTTTGTGGGCGCGATTTCCATATCCCAAAAAATTTTATTCGATTCGATTTTCGTATGCGCCTAGCCACAAATCAAATGAAACGGGCTTTAACGCGAAAATGTGCAAACAGAAAGCCACAATTGGCCCCGGCAAATGCATACCATACATACTCGTGCTCGTATCAAAATGGAAACATGGACACAAATGTGCGAAATATTAATGAGCGGATGAGCGAATGAGCGGATGGGTGTGTGCTGTGTGGCGTGTATAAGCATCAGATTTCAATTACGAAAATTGTTCAGTTTCAGGGGTAATTGTTGCGTATACGCCGCATTGCACACTGGATAAATATTTTATGGGGACGCTGTAGCATTGTTTTTAATTAGCAAAACTTGTTCCGGAGGTCAATTAGATTCGTGTGGGGGCAGACATGCGAGTGGGACAGGGTCCGAGCTTGGAGTGTTTCTTTGCCACAAATCATTCAGCTTTTTGGGTTGACTAAACTCCTCGCTTAAACTCCACCCAGGGTGCAGAAATATATATTTTTTTTCTGCGTAAATTTCAATTAAATAGTTAGTGGCTTTCGCTGTCAACTGTCGTTGCGTTAAAGTGCCTCCTCGGCTGCGGTGGCGACTCCTGGAATCAAAATTAATTAATTGGAAAATGAATCTATTTTTGTGTGCTGACTCTGTCTCTGGCTCTTGCTGCTGTCGTGTCGTTGTACGCTTTGATTTGGGTATTTTCCAAATGGAAACACACGGACACAGACATAGACACAGACAGAGACACTGACCTTTGAACTTGAGGGCGAGCTGTTTGGGGGATTTGGCTCTATTTATTTTAAGAGACAATTTCTGTCGTTTCTCCCCTGATTTTCCTGGCAATTGGCTGCTTTTCTCATGTTTCAATTGCCAAAACACCTAAAAGCATTCTCTCTGTCTCTGTCTGTTCTGTAGCCACGCAACAAGGAACAGGAACAGGAAGTCCTCAATTGGGTCTTTGCCGTGCTCGGTGAGAAGGTGCCCAGCGGCCAGTATGAGGATATCCTCAAGGACGGCATCTGGCTGTGCAAGCTGGCCAATAAGCTGGCCCCCGGATCCATCAAGAAGATCCAGGAGCGTGGCACCAACTTCCAGCTGATGGAGAACATCCAGCGCTACCAGGCGGCCGTCAAGAAGTACGGTGTACCCGAAGAGGAGATCTTCCAGACAGCCGATCTGTTCGAGCGTCGCAATATTCCACAAGTTACTCTCTCCCTCTACGCTCTGGGACGTATTGTAAGTTTTGTCTTAATTTTTAAAATATGTAGAGCTCACCTAAATTTAATTTTTGTATCATTTTGATAGACGCAAAAGCATCCAGAGTTCACTGGCCCCACTCTGGGCCCCAAGATGGCGGACAAGAACGAGCGCGTCTTCACCGAGGAGCAGCTCCGTGCCCACGAGGGTGAGCTTAATCTGCAGATGGGCTTCAACAAGGGCGCCACTCAGTCCGGCCATGGCGGCTTTGGCAATGCCCGTCACATGTAAACACACAAAAAACACCCACCCACACCCACACTCAGATACACCCCCACACAAATACACAAAAATCTAATTAGTTCAAACATAAAAAAAAAAAAAAGATTCTTGCGTATGATTTAAGCAGTGCAAAAGCTCTAAATGTAATTTATATAATATGAAAACAAATAAATTAATTAATTTTAATATAAATGTCAAGGTTTTGTGCCCTCAGGCGAGGCCCCCTCATTGGATTAGCATTATGTGTTGCTGTTAATTAGTGGGTGGAGTCGACAGGGGCAGAGGATGAAACATGCGACTGTCGCCAGTTTGTCAAGCGGTTTAAGTGGTTTTTTCTCTCTCTCTCTCTCTCCCCCCCAAATGGAGTCATACGCACTTACGACCCTTACGAATGGGTCGACACCGACACCTTTATTTCTTATTTCGTTGTTTGTGGCTTTCTCCGTTCTGGGCCTCTCGCTCTCTCTCTCTCTCTGTGGCGCCTCTGGTTGCCTGGTCCACCTGAGATTACACAAATTACAATTTCAACGCCTGCACTGACAGCGATAAGCATAAGAAATGTCAAGGCCATTTGTATTTCTATCTCTCTGACTCTCTCTCTATGTGTGTGTGTGTGTGTGTTCTTATAATGGGGGAAAAATAGACAAAGGACTGGGGAGAAGAGCGGAGAAATCCTTGGGAAAACTGTTTGGTTTTGCTATGCACTCGAGAAAATTAATGCGGTTGTAGTAGAAAATATTTTGTTGCTTTGGGATTTGCGTAAACTTTTAGCATATGAAACATAATTTAAGAACTAAAAGCTTAGGAGCTCTCTGCTACATTTATTTACTAAAAAGTATTCATTTATTATTTAAAAATGTCAGGGCATACTTTTAGTATGATTTTATAATAGTTTATACAGGATTTGTTATTGAAATTTTAGCCATAAAATGATCGAGCCTCTCTATAACTCACATTCTTCCACCATCTCAAAGTCGTTCTCTAATAATTTCGCTCAGTGTAATCTATACCTTTTGCCACCTTTCAAATACCCGCAAAAAAAACCAGAGCCAACGTTTATCTTTTTGGACAAAGGAGCATCACAAAATAAAGGAGAATAAGAAGAAGGAGAGCCAAGCACGAGAAAAAGGGGAAAACCACAAGCGACGAATTGCGAATATAATGAAGGCTAGAAAACAAACGAAAAGAAAAGAAAAGAGACGTGTAAAACTTTGTCAGACGGCAGGAAAGTCATGCCAAAATGGCGTCCCCAGAGGACTGTGTGGAAGTGTTTGCGTTTTGCTTATGCCAATGATCAGGCAAAATTGGAATGGCAATTGTCAGTGGCTATGGCTGCGTGTGTGTGCGTTTTGGTGCGTTTGGGTGCGTGTTTAATTTCCACTTGTCGAGGAGGGCACAAAAACAAAAACACACACACAAAGGGGGCCACAGACACAGACAGACAAAGGCCAAATGTGCCAGTGTGTTTGTATTAAATGAAATGGTCACTTTGACAGCCACTCTGACAGCCAGACAGTCCCCTTTGCATGTGTATTGTACATGCATGCTTTATGCGTGCGTGTATCTGTGAGTTCCCTACTCCATTAATTTAATTTTATTTATGTTGACAATTGCTGTAACAAACACGCATGTCAGCAGAGGGCGAACTAGAGGCTGCGAGGGTTAGAAGTGTGGCGGGGCAGTGTAGGACACCGTTTCCCTCTCACTCAACATTGCTGATTGTATTACAAATAGTTTTCTACACCCGCACCCGCAGCCACATCCCTCATTCACCCATACTTGCCTGCCTCACCCTCTGCAACTATCGCACACACATGCTTCAGCATTGGCACCCAGAGAAAAGAGGAATATTCGTGGAATGATGTACCCAATGAATGAATTTAGCTGATTATGAAATGGATCTGTTCTTTTGTCGCAGTGTACTCTAATAATGCAATTTATTGGCACCCAGAGGTTGACAATGACAATTGTTGACTTTCCCTTTTTGTGCAGTTTTGGTTTGCTGTTGGTTCTGTCGCTTGTTTCACTCGTTTTTATTTTTCCGGCTCATGCATTCCATTGGGTGGATATGCTGCTGGTTTTTGTTTCATTGAATTTATTTAATTTATATTTATTGTGGTCAAAATGACAATTTATTGTCATTTGTATTTATAGCTGGTCGAATGCTTGCTGCCCTGGCATGCCCTGCCCAGCCATTCCATTCCATTCCTGGAATATTCCGCTTTCATTATTCTATGTTTTTGTACCTCCCCCCCACCCTTCCATACGAGGTATTATGATTCTACTTTTTTTCTGCAATTGATTTCTATGATTTTAACTGCTGTTTTCCAGGTTTCTTCCCCCACTGCTTTTCCTGCTTTTTTTCAACCAGTAATTTATGTTCGTAATTACTTGCAAATGGAATGTCAATTATATTCTTGTTTGTTTTTTTTCGAGATCTTATGATTTGTTTAGTATTTATCACATATTTATTTTGGATTTATTGGCTATGTTTATTTTATTTATTTATTTATTTTTTTAGTATAAAATAATTCGAAAAAAATATCAATGCTCTTGCTTCTAGGAAAATATATATTTAGGCCTTGGCTTTGATGGCTGTTACTTATTTTTAAGCAAAAACAATATACTCTACATAATCAACGAGTTGCCAGGTACCAAAAATATTGCAGCCTTCGCTCAGTCAGAGAGACATAGAGTGGCAGAGTATGGCAGAGTATCCTCATTTAACACTGGCAACAGCAACAACGATTTTCTTTATTATTATTTGGCTTAAACATGCAAGCGCATTTATTTTTCTGTTGGCCAAGTTACCACTGGCCTGCTTTCCCGCCGCTGCTATTGCGTTGCGGTTTCAAGGAGGCCCCCGAGGCAAAGTTTTATTCGTACAGCACATTTCTACCTAATTGCTGAAAGTTTGTAACAATTTATAGCTGCATTGCAGTGGCTGGAATGTGAAAGCCTTGCCCTTACCCCCAACACACACTCACTCCCTCTCGCTCTTTCTCACTCTCTCAATCCTTTCTCTATGCGGTTAACTAACTAAATAAAAGAGTTGATATTGGAGCATAAATTTCACAAATGGCAGAAGGTTAAGTCCAAGGTGTGCATAGTTCCTGAAATCCCCTTTGAAATCTCTGTGGTAACCATCTGTGTAGTGCAACTTATTGGTCAGCCCACCCGCCCTCAACAGCACAAACACTTCAGGCATATTTCATGCTCAGCTACACACAGAGTACAACGACGCTAGGGCACACAAAGAAAGCAACAACATGGCAAATGACACTAAAACCGAGCACATTATCCCTCCATCTCCATCTCTCCCTCTCGTTGGCTCTCTGGCTGTTTCTTCTAGCAATAATTGCTGCCAAACCGCTTGCTGCATTCATAAACAAGCCAAAACAGTGCGCACAAGCAGCAAGCAGCAACCAGCAAGCAGCAACCAGCAAGCAGCAACCAGCAACAGAATCTCAATCCCGTATCCGTATCCGAATGCGAATCCGTAAACCAAACGAAACGCAAGAACGTTGCAGATAGAAGGAACCAGAGAACAGCCGGACAAATGCCAGAGCCTGAAAGGCGTAATAACAAAGCCCCCCCAAAAACCGGACAACAGCAGCAGCAAAACCCGAAACAACAAGTGGCTAAATATTGAACGACTTTCAGATGCTCAGCAGGGGATCAATTTCAAAGATAGACGCCAATCAGGCAAGTGTGCTCGAAAACTGAGAGGCTTTTAAATTGAGAATTTGGGTTAATCAACAAACAGGTTGTGTGGGAATTAATGGCCTTAGCAGGAGCTGAACATGGACTTTGAATGATTGCTGCTCGAAGAATGGCATGAATGGTCATAGTTACTGCTTTTGTTTGCGATGAAAATGCACACAATTCTGTAGCTTTATCCATCTGCAATGCTTGAACTATAAAGAGGCATTGCAGAAATTAAAAATATGAATTTACCGAGTAAAAGAAAACTCTCTCTTGGCTGACTTCTGACCTGTTCTGCTCAGAAGAATTTATCTAGATTTTCCCTACGAGCTACAACTGCTCTTTGCCAAGTTCTGTCTCTATTTAACTTTCATTTTACAGGGTACAATGTAAGTCTCGTCTTACAAAGCGGATAACAAACTTAGTGCAGCTGCTCAATTGCTTGCGCTAAACACACAAGCGATTCGGCGAAAAAGGACACGCCCCACCAGCACTCACACACACACAAACGTGAGGAGCTTAGTTCATATTTATGCGGCAAGTTCTACCTAACCTCTGGCGGCATGGTGGCAGTTGGGTGGTCATTAAGATGCATAGTCCCTCCGCTACACGTTTTCCCAGCTTCATGGCTGCTGCGGCGCTGCTGCAATGGGAAATGATTTGTGCGTCGGGGCATAAACTGCGTGAATTCCCTAGTACAAATTGACTTGCTACAAAAGCGCAAGAAAAATTCACCTGCCACAAGTAGCTGTGCACAGCCACTGAAGTGGCACAGCAGCTGAAGGGAAGGTGTGTGTGTGTGTGTAATCAGCTTTCCACCTTCGGCTAATCCCCGTTCGAGTTTCCATAGCCATAAATCATGGGAATACTTTTGGTTGGTTTTTCGGGCATATTAATAACCGAAAGACAGTTGCTAGCTTGATTTATGCATGCGAGTATTTGGGTTTTTTTTTATTATTTTTTTCAATAACCTCGCATGTGTCTTCCACACACGTGTGTCATTCCAGGTGGGGATTTTCTCAATGCTTTTGATTCATGACCATGGGATTATGCAATTGACCAAAAGAATAATTGATTGTCGTGTAGAGTGTGGCCAGCAGCACGAACAATTTATAGACACATTTTAAAAAACCAATTAGAATTAATTACCATTTAGTAGCACTAGAAGCACTCACTCTCCCGCTCTGCGAAAATTGCGTCAAAATTCATTTACATATATTTACTAATTACATTCTGAAGAGCCATCCTCTGCCCCTCCTCCACCAAATACCACCCCCTCCCCATTTAGAGCGATTTTAGCAGCCATGCGTACAGGCGCAACGCCGCGTATACATAATCTGCATTTTGCGATGCCTGCATGCACACAAATAGTTATCGATTTAATTGGTGTTAAAATTTATGCGCACCAAAAATTTCCAGAGGGTTATCCTACCCCTACCCCCCCCCTACCCATGGCCCTACCTACACCTACAAATAGTTTC